TCCTGCTGATCCTCAGATATCGGAAGGGCTGGGATGGCTGGGCTTAGTTTGAGTGATGCTCAAATCAGTGTGGGTCATGCAGTTGTGCCCAAAAACTGTTGGACTACCACAGGTCCAGATGCATTACTAACTTCATACCACCTGCCTAGCCACACATCACCTGAACTAGCATGGCTACAATCAAAGGTTTGGTCTGCATTCAGGGATAGCACTCTTGGTTAAGTGAAACAACAGTGTGATTTATCAAAGCAACATATACAAGTTCTTTGGATTGCCTGTGATAAATTGGCAATAAGAATGAAAGAGAGAGAAGCGGAGGGAGGGAGGGCAAAGTTGAGGGAGAAGCGGAGGGAGAAGTTGAGGGAGAGCAGGAGGGCAGGAGGGAGAAGCTGAGAGAGGAGGGAGGCAGAAGGGAAGAGAGGGAGAGAAATTGAGAGAGGAAGGAAGGGAAGGAAAGAGAAAAGGTAGTTCTAGCAAGGTTTCTAGGTTTCCCAGAGTGCAGTCAGTGTAACAATGTTCAGGTCTTACCCAAAGGTATGTCCCTATGCTGGGCCAGAGAGGCTCAGCCTGTCAACTGATCCCAGTAGTCAAGAGCAGTACTGGTAAAGGCCTGGTGATGGCATTCTCCCTGACATCTCTGATATCTTTGTCAACATCCTTACTCTCTTAGACTGCTCCCACTGGCTTGTTATCCCACATGTGAGCTTGAGGAACTCCCGTCACACACCTGTATCATGATCAGTGCAAAACTCTCTCACCTCCAAGGCCACAGACCAGAGAAAACTTGGGGTGCATGCTTATGGAGAGGCAGCTACCCCCCAGCAGGCAGGCAGCCCCCATGATGGTGGTGTGTTCTAGCATCAAAATGAGATTACAATGAGCAAAGTTCAGTAAAGGACAGTTGTTTGTCAAAAAAGTGACAGATTTTTGGCCAAGGGTATAAAGTATGTGACTTGTCAATTCTAGGTGGCCCTCAGATCCCTATGTTATTAAAAAGGCCAGCCATGATGTCTCAAAATGTCCAGTTCATCAGCTCCACAGCACTCCCCAGATCCCCACATTCACCACAGGCCCAGCCTCAGTGTGCTCAGTTCACTCCAGTTTTGGTGCTGTGTGTCCCCAGAGCCAGCACACCAAGGTCCCCTGGTATTGCTAACTAGGATCACCTGGAGGACCACTGTGGCAGAGACTCCTTGCATGTTACCTGCATTCCCCCCTAAACGTTCTGTCACTTTTATATCTTTCCTCAAAAGGCAAAAACCAATCTGACTTGAAAATCACACTGCCATGGGCTAGTAGTGAGCAACTGAAAACATGGTGTCAATCTCAGCAACTGCAGCCAGTTAGTAGAGACTCCCCCGAAGACAAAATTACTAGAAAGAAAAGCTGGCTCCATTGTAGCCCAGGCCAGGACATAGTTTCACCAATTACCCCACATAATCCACCCATATACATACACATCTTTGTGTGAGTAAGTGGTAACTGTAATATTGCCAAAGCCTAGCATACAGAGCAATTGTCACACAATATATTGAGTATTAGTAAGACCACAATAGGGTGTAACATCTTGTTGAAGAGTCCCACAGCAGTTGGTGACCATGTGAAAAAGATATCCCACCTTTTTCTCTGTTCTCTCTCTACTTTTTCTAACTCTCTGTAAGTATGCTGACCATCTGGAGTAAGAAGCACTCAGAAACAGTAAGCAGGTGCATTTAATCATGGAGATGCTAGTTCGCATCTGTAATTCCACCTGTTTTAGGGAATATGATGGATTCAACAGCACTTATGGTTGACCTGTATTTTTTGATTATGTAAGGACTGGTATTGAAGATGTAAGGAGTTAGGCTAATAGGAAGCTGAGTTGGTACATTTTCCAAATTTTGAAGGGATAGAGGTTTCTTACCCTTTATGACTGGTACAAATGTCATTGTATCAATCATAAATATAAATAGCAGTTCTATGCCTCTGTAGCCCCACATGTGGTACACAAACATATGTTTGGTTAAGGTAAAACTTACTGGTTCTAGGATTTAGTAGCATTATTCCAAATCGCTATTTTAATTTTGATGGGTGCAGTGCCCTCATTGCCTTCCCTTGTAATTGCTGTTAAAGTAGACTGCACCCATAGCTGAGAAACCTGAGTGGTGCAGGGTGTACTGGAGTTACCATATTGATTAGCATAAATAAAAGAAGTGAGGGTCTCCATCCCATGAGTTTTTCTTGTCAATATGTGATGTGTTGATAAAGTTTCACATCTTGTGGGAGAGTGACTGTAAAGTTTGATAAGTGCAGCATGAGCAACTGTGGGAGAAGGCCTGTATTCCTGTGGGTGTCTGTTAAAGGTATATTGTATACCTTTCCAAGTAAAGGCAAACTTTTCTTTGTCTTTTTTGTGTAAGGGAGACCATAAAGAACAGATCTTTTGCATCTAGCACTGTCATTCCTGGGGGAGCAGCTGCTTGAAAGGAGCTGTTAAGTTTGCAGTGGTTGGTACAGTAGCTGTTAGCGGGGCAGTATTAAATTTCATTTTAGCCTAGAGAAGCTCAGAGCTCAGGATTTCCAAATGTAGAAGAGGTGGTAAAATGCAAAGAAACTATCCTATCTTTCTTACAACAACATGGCACGGTACCAGTCTATATTACAGTAAAAGCAGGGTGACATGAGATGCTTGAGTATTTTTTGAAGGTTAGACATACTTAGCATTTGAGTAAGTCATCTAGTGAAGTTACTGAATCTGGACATTTTGAGCATTAGTTAAATGCATAACCTTAGATTTCTGCCTTATGTGAAAAAGGACTAAATTAACTTCTAGGGTGTCTTTTTTTTTTCATGCAAGAGTGGCACTGACCAGGTAAAATTATATCATGTGATAGAGAAGGCAATAGTGATCTCCTTGTCAAAATGTGTTTGTACCTTAAGATATTTTCATTATGAATTCTCTGCTAACTGCGTATTTGCACTAGATTTTTAGCTTCTAGAATAGCTAATACCAGATTTTTCCTGTCAACTGGCACTTAGTTAAGTGACAACAGTTCTGATTTGTTAACTAGCTAAAATTTCAGTCTAAGAGCCATAAAGCTTATGAGTGTAGTATGAGGGGAAAGAGATTCTTGCTGAAGTAAATTCTTTAAAGACTACAAGTGGAGCATTTTCATGTATAGTATCAGAATAAGACAAGAGGAGCTTGCTGCTTAATGACGTTGTTTTCAAGTATATGAAGTTAGGTTGTTGAGACATTACAATATATTTAGAGACTCCACATAACTATTTCTGTATATCGTAGCAGTGTATACTATAGCAGTACATGGATTAATCAGTGAGAAGCATTTCCTAAAAAGTATCTCCTAATTCCATTTAAGATTCATAGAATGCATCTGTTTTGAGATCCTATCTGTTGTTAATAATCAGTTTTTATGGTGTTACAGATTTCATGTGGTTGGTTTTAGTGCTTCCTTTCTATACGGTTAAAATAAGCTACAGTGTTCAGAACTAAAAATTGCTTTTTTTGTACGGTGAAGGTAAGACTGTTGCTTAATGACTGATTGTACATATTTTTAAAGCACTACTCTTGTGCATAAAAATTATTAACTTCTTTTTCAAATAGATGTTAATGGGTTATATGTCTGTACCTTTTTCAGAAAAGTGTTGTGAAGACAACCTGGGGAGTATTGGATCCACCCGTTGGAAACACACGTTTAAATGTAATTAGGTTAATATCTTGCCTATTACAGACTAATACAAGCAGTGTGAATCAGGAGCTTATAGAGCTTAACAGCATAGGAATAGTACTGGTAAGAACTTTATGCTGCCTTCTTCATTTTTATGGATTGATGCTAAGATCTTGTCCCTTTTATCTGTCACTACAGATAATTTGTAGCATATTTTCCAGACTAACTTTTCAGCCTGTTTGTATTGTAGCTTCTGTTGAACAGTTTAAGAACTTCTAGTATTGGATTTTATTGTTAAATTCACTTTTGTGAAGTCAACATTTTCCTCAGATCACTTGAGTGATTCTTATGCTCTATATGTTCATAAATACATGCAGTGCTTTTCTTAACAAGTTTATTTTTTCTTCTGTATGTTCTCAAGTTCTCAGACATGTTTAAAGCTTCCTTACTGCTTTCATTCTTTTCCTGAGTCAGAGTGTCATAGTCAGAGACCTCTAAAGATTGTCTAGTCCAAACCCCTTGATAGAGCAGGATCACCTACAGTAGATAAATAGGAACATGTCGGTTTTGAGTGTATCCAGAGAAGGAGACTCCAAAACCTTTCTGGGCAGCCTATTCTAGTGCTCTGTTACCCTCCCAGTAGAGAAGTTTTTCCTTATGTTTTAACTTGAACCTTCTATGCTCCAACTGTTGCCTGTTGCCCCTGTCCCTGTCATTTGACACTGTGGAAAATAATCTGGTCTCATCCTCCTGACACCTGCCCTTTAGATACTTGTGTTTGAGATACTCCCTCAGTCTCCTCTTCTCCAGGCTAAACAGACCCAGCTCTCTCAGGCTTTCCTCATAGGACATGCTCTATTCCTCTAATTGTCTTTGTGGCCCTGTGCTGGACTCTTTCCAGTAAGTTCCTTACCCTTTATGAACTGGGGAGCCCAGAACTGGATACAGTACTCCAGATGCAACTTCACCGGGGAAGAATAGGGAGCTGGGGGGAATGACCTACTGGCTACACTCTTCTTAATGCACTCAAGGAAGCCACTGGCCTTCCTGGCTGCAAGGGTGTGGTGTTGTCTCATGGTCAGCCTGTTGTCTACCAGGACCTTGAGGTCCTTCTCCCCAGAGTTACTCTCCAGCAAGATATGCCAGAGGGACAGGATGCCATCCAGAGGGACCTGGACAAGCTTGAGAAGTGGGCCCAGGTGAACCTCATGAGGTTCAACAGGCCAAGTGCAGGGTCCTGCACCTGGGCTGGGGCAATCAATACAGGTTGGGGGAAGACATGCTAGAGAGCAGCCTGTGGAAAAAGACCTGAGGGTACTAGTGGATGAAAAGCTGGACATGAGCCACCAATGTGCCATGGCAGCTCAGAAGGCCAACTGCATCCTGGGCTGCATCAAAAGAAGTGTGGCCAGCAGATCAAGAAAGGTGATTCTGCTCCACTGCTCTGCTCTGGTGGGACCTCAGCTGGAGTACTGTGTACAGCTCTGGAGCCCCCAACACAAGAAGGATGTGGACCTATTGGAGCATGTCCAGAGGAGGGCAACAAAAATAATCAGAGGGCTGGAGCATGTCTCTTATGAAGACAGGCTGAGGGAGTTGACATCGTTCAATCTGAAGAAGAGAAGACTACAGGTGGACTTACAGCAACCTTCCAATACCTAAAAAGGGGCCTATAAGAAGGCTGGGGAAGACCTGTCCACTAGGGCATGTAATGACAGGACAAGGAGTAATGGTTTTAAGCTAGAAAAGAGTAGGTTTAGACTGCACATTAGGAAAAAGTTTAATATGAGGTAGGTGGATCCCTGGATTGGGTTGCCTAGAGAGGTGGAGGCTCCAATTTAGAGAAGGATGTTGTGGGGGACCTTGTCAAAGGCCTTGCAGAAGTCCAGATACATGACATCCATAGGTTTTCTCTTGTCTACTGATGCATTCATTCTACAGTAGAAAGCAACTAGGTTGGTCAGGCAGGATTTGCCCCTAGTGAAGCCATCCCTGTATGTGTTTAAAAGTAGTCTAGTTGTGACACTTGGGAATATGGCTTAGTGCTGGACATGGTAGAGCAGGGTTAATGATTGGACTGTCATCTTGAAGGTCTTTTCCAACCTAAGTCATTCTGTGATTCAGGCATAGAGGTGAGGCTGACAGGTTAGTAATTTCCAGGGTACCCTTTTTTACCCTTTTTAAAAATGGGCATAATATTTCCTTTCTTGTGGTCACTAGAGATTTTACCTGACTGCCACAACTTTTCAAATATCATGGAGGGTGGCTTGGCAACTGCCATCTGCCAATTCCTTCAGGACTCTGGGATGCATCTCATCAGGTCCTATGGACTTGTGTATATTCAGACTCTTCAAATGGTCACAAACCTTGTTTTTGCTTATGGTGGGAGGGATTTTGTGTCCCTGATCTGCATCTTGTGGGCCATCAACCTGAGAGCCATGAGAAGATAGTGCGGTTGCCAGTGAAGACTGAGGCAGAAAAGTTGTTGAGAACCTTGGCCTTCTTGTCTGTTGTTACTAGTTCATCATTATTGCTTGTTCTTTCTTTAACTTTCTTTTTCTGGTTTACTCTAACTGCATTTTTTTCTGAACTCCATTGTTTTTCTTTACATCCCTTGCTGAGTTCAGCTTCAGCTGTGCTTTGGCCTTCCTGACCTTGTCTCTACACAACTGGGCAACGTCCCTATACTCTTCCCAGGTTATCTGTTCCTGCTTACACTGCCTGTGTAGTTCCATCTTGCCTTTTTAGTTTGACCAGCAGGTCTTGACTCAGCCATACTGGTCTTTTGCCCTCCTTGCCCAATTTCTTAAACGTGGGGATTGAGATCTCTTGCACTGTATGGAAAGCATCCTTAGAGATCTGCCATCTCTCTTCTGCTCCCTTGTCCCTGAGGGCTGTTTCCCAGGGGGTCCAGTTTACTAACTCCTTGGATAGCTGGAAGAGTCTCATTTTGAATGAGACATAAGTTTTTTAATACTGTCCCAATCACTGCATGTATTTTCATAACTAATTTCACTTTACCAGTGATGGTGATAATTTGAGTTTTGCATTAAGAAATAATTAGAAATAACTAGAAATAAAGCTTGAAAAATCTTTCCAATGTCAAAAAGGAAAAATGTAGAGAACTAGGAATTAACAATGTTTATCTCAAATTTAGTATTTGTCTGTGTCACACGTAAGGCATTTAATAATCTTAAACTGATCTTATATTAGGTAGCCTTTTGTAATAGAATAATGAAGTTAGTAGATGACAGATTCAAAACAGGTAGATATGATTTTGTAAGTAATTGCACTAAAGTGAGGAGCACATTAAAACAGTATTGTAGATGCTAAAAGGTGAAGTTAACTCAAAATATTAAAATAAATAAAACTTCTAATTCTGGGATTCTCTGGGCTGCAGCTAGCAGAAAGAATGTGTGGCCTGTTATTCCTCCCTGTCTTGGTTCTCTGAAAGTTCGTTACTGGTTTTCTCTGGTATAAAGTCAGTCACAGCTGATTTTTTTGTTCCAGTCCTTGTGTTCAGGTAATAGCAAGCACAAGACGTAACATTTTTGTAGGTCATATGTTCTCCTGCACAGTAATACTTCTTGTAAAACGTCAAACTTTTTTTTTTTTTCCAATATAGCTATTCACATGACTTGCTGGAGTGAGACGATTGGTTATGTTTAATGAAAAGACCTTGTTTTGTCTAAATCTTGTTGAATTTGTTTTTCAGGACATGTTCTTTAAGTATACATGGAATAACTTTTTGCATACTCAAGTAGAAATCTGTGTTGCATTGATTCTTGCAAGTCCTCTTGAAAGCACAGAAAATGTTACAATTACAGATCAGGATGCCACTGGGGAGGACAATCTCTTACTGAAACATGTAAGTTGTGAGATTTGGGGAATCTAATTAATTTTTCTGTCATTAGTCTACTGTAACAGTTACTTACATAAAGTGTACCCAAACTTTATTAGTAGAATGAACAGGAATTTTTTTCTGGAGTTTTTTTGCAAAAATGTCAGTTCGGGGTGTTAAACCTGAAAGGTGCCATAGAGTACATTTTTGCTGCCCTGAAGTGAGCATGTATGCAGAACTGTGAGTGTTTGTTTTCCTTTAAGGGGAAACCTTATTGTTAAGAATTAAAATTGCCATTTCAGTGGCTTTATGCTACTACTATTCAGCAGCTATAAAGAGAAGTAGAATTAACGTACATTTAGCTTTTAAGCTTCTGTTTGGGATCTACAGTTGTTTCTGAACTAAAAACCCTTTAATCAAAGTATTTATCCTGAAACTGAAATTAGTCATTTTGTAAGCCTTTAGTACGTGTTAAAATTAACTGTAAAATGCGTAAGTATTCCACCTTACTGCTACTAAGTTTTTTTTGTTTGTTGATAGCTCTTCCTTAAGTGCCAATTAATAGAACGAATACTTGAAGCATGGGAGATTAATGAGAAGAAACAGTGAGTAACTAGTTTTGTTATTCCCTGCAATTGTCTATATAAGAGTTGAATTGTGAAATTAATGTATGACCAATTAATAAGTTATCTGGACCAGTTATAAAACCATTTGTATGTTAGCATTTGGATTAAAGTCTTCTCTCATACTAATTTTGGTAACATTTTTAATGCTTTTTCCCCATACCATTTGAGAACACATTAGTTTTGTTATTCTTGCCATGTGTAAGATACTGCTATGAGTTTTAAAGTCTGTCTGTCTTAAAATGTACAGTATTTTTCTGTACTTAGAGAGGACAGGAAATACTTTTCTCCAAGCAATTGAAAAATACTTATGAACACATCAAAGCATATTATCTATCAGGGACCAACACTTTTCTAAGCAGTAAAAGCCAAGACCTCAGCAATGAGCAATGCAATACCTTCTAAAAATCTGTTTTTGTGAAAGGAATGGAAGATTCAAGTAGCTAATGTTGTCTGAAACTGTGCTTATAGCAGGAAAAATAACCCTCAGTCTTCACCTGAGGTGGTAGAACAGCTCTCTGAAGGCTTAAGTTTGACTCAGGAAATACTAACCCAATAAATGCGAAGTCAAACTTGTCAAAATACTGAATTAGTTGACTGGGATAATGTTGCTTGTTTGCTGATGTATTATTTGAGACAGTTCTACTCCCCAAAATATTCTTGTTGCTATTTGACATGAGTCAGACTGACCTGAAAATAAGGATGTTGAACTAGAGGAAGAGGGTGGTACAAATAAAGGGAATGCAACTTTAACTGTAGAATATATGCTCTTCCAAATGTCTTCTATTTTATATTGTATTCTCCTTAGATTATAGAGAACTGTCCACTTCATCAGCATTAGACTCTCATTGGAGAGTGTGGAAAGTTCTTTCCATAGATCCAACCTAAAACTGTTGGTTGGATAAGAATGTTCTTGTGCTTTTATCTGGAAAGAATTTATTTGCTAGAAATGAGCAAACAGTTGTAATACACTCCTTTATCCAATTTTGTAAAAGTATGACTCCAAATGTTAAAGATAAGTCTTAAAAAGCTTTAGATTATTTTAAGATTAGCTGTTTCAGGAAAGGGATTTTTTTCAGTGCTTTTGTATTCTGTCAGAAGATGTTATTTAAAACAGCCTTGGAAGATTGAAGGTGACTGCTTTCTGCTGGTGAAAATCTGGCATAGTAAAAAGCTATTTGATTTATAGGGATTAATAAGCATTGGTTAACAGGAGCTGCAGTCATATTCTAGGCTTTTTGGCTAGGCAAAGACAAGTCAGTCCAGCTTGTCAAATACAAGCACTCCCATGGTATATCCTGTATTAGAAATTATAACCTTTGCCATTATCGTATGTTGCTTGTTTTGAAGTCAAGGAGATAAGACAGGACTCTCAAGGCGTTCCTGTAAACAGTATGATAATATTTCATTCATGACATCTTGTATTGATGTCAAATATCAGTCACCTCTTTTATTAGATGATGTTGGTAGAAAATCACGTAATGTGACTTGTGTTAGCATAACATCAGCTACTTTTGGAATTGCTGACATATTACAGAGGTTTCGGTAAGGTTCATAAGAGGCTTGTTTAGCCAGTTGAATGGGTTGGTCTTAATTTTTTTTTAATTTCATTTAAAAAGCACAAAATCTTAAAACACTGGCACAGCACAAGTCTGTTTAGCTTACAGCTAAATACTAGAAATTCAGTCCAAGTTGGAGCTCTCTCTTTAGCCCTTTGGTCAGATTTAGAAAGACTCCAGCTTAGCAACTCAAAGCACTAAGAACTACTTAAAAATTACTGTTTCTGTGAAGCAGTTCTGTCACACTAAAAAATACTGTAACTCCCTTGTAATTGTACCTTTAGGAATGGTATTTAAGTGCATATGGAACTTCAGGAAAGTCATGATCCTAAATTAAATTTCAAGTGGTCATACCATTCCAGCTCTGCATGCTAGCTGTTAAGGTTTAAGAAACCTCTTCAATACTAGAGCATACTCTAGTATTTTATTGTTTGGTCACAGACTCAAATCTCTGAGAAAATGTTCAGTGTATAAGAGTTTTGAAAAATACTCCCAGCAACAGAAATGTCCTAAACTGAGGTTTTGTTTTATCTTTATCATGATAATCCTGTACATTTTTCTTTCTAAACACAGACATGAAAGCAGAAATAATCTGTTCAGCTATTCTGCTCTTCCTGCTTGGTAGCTTACGTGCTTGTTAAGCCTTCTAAACTGGTTCTATCTAGTTAACCAGTTGGTATCTTAAATTCTTGATTAATTTTGTGAATGTTTGGTTTTAGGATGCAGTGCCTCTGGTTAAGAATCCCTTCACTACTTGTCTTGTGTGACCTCTTGATTCTCTAACAAAACATAGTAGCACAGTTCCTCTGAGTGTGGGCAGCTGAACGCCTTTTATATTTTGCAGAGCTGAAGGAGGAAGAAGACATGGCTATATGGGTCATCTGACAAGGATAGCAAACTGTATTGTGCATAGTACAGACAAGGGGCCAAACAGTACTCTAGTCCAGCAGCTCATTAAAGGTAATATTAATGGTCTTAAGTTTTTCTTAATAGATTTCATTATCAAATTCTGATTAATCATAATTAAGGCACTTGTTGGATAAAAAACCCAAAATATTTTTTAATTCTTACACATTCAATTTAAAATGAGCCATCCTTAAACACATACTTAAGTCTTTTTCTCTAATGGTATTAAAGCTCGCTGAAATAAATGCAGAGAGATGCTGACCTGCTTAATTTGGATTTGTTTGCTAAATGAAGTAGCACTTATAGATATAGGAAGATGTGTATATATTCTTTGCAGTATTGCTGATAGAGCAAAAGAAAACAATTAAAAATTAAGTGATGTTCCATTGTCAATAGGGTTTCATTGGGATTTCTTTTTGTTACCTACCCTAGAGCTTCCAGATGAAGTCAGAGAACGATGGGAGACATTTTGCACAAGCTCTTTAGGAGAAACTAACAAGAGGAATACAGTTGACCTGGTAAGTATGAATGGGTACGGTATCAGAATTGCTGCTGTTTGGCCCTCACTTTCATAGGATCATAGAATGGTTAAGGTTGGAAGGGACCTTAAAGGTCATCAGGTTCCAGCCTCCTGCTATGAACATGGACACCTGCCACTAGACCAGGCTGCACAAGGCTTGGCCTTAAACACCTCCCGAGTGGGGGCATCCACAGATTCCCCACGCAGCCTATTCCAGCACCTTACTAGCCTCATGGTGAATAATTTCTTCCTAATGTCTAACTGAAATCTACCCTCTTTCATTTAAAAACCATTGCCTCTTGTTCTATCACTATCCTCTCTGTTGAAAAGCTCCTGTTCAGCTCCAGCTTTCCTGTAGGCCCACTTCAGGTACTGGAAGGCCTCCTTAGTGCCTTCTCTTCTCCAGGCTGAATAGTCTCAACTCTGTCAGCCTGTTTTCATAGGAGAGGTGCTCCAGACCTTTGATCATCTTTGTGGCCCTCTTCTGGACCCTTTCTGACAGCTTCATGTCTTTCCTGTGTGGAGGGCTCCAGAACTGTACACAGGTGTGATCTCAAAAGAGCAGAGGGACAGAATCGCCTCCCTCACCCTGCTGGCCATGCTTCTTTTGATGCAGCATAGGATGCAGTTGGCCCTCTGGGCTGCACGAGTGCACAATGGAGGCTCACGTCAAGCTTCTCATCCACTACCACTGTACCATTGACCACAACTCCCTGGGTGTGGCCATCCAGGCAATTACTTATCCACTGAGTGGTCCATCTGTCAAATCCATGTCTTATCAGTTTGGAGACCAGGATGTTGGGTGGGACAGTTAAATGCTTTGCACAAATCCAGGTAGATAATGTAAGTTACTCTTCCACTGTCCACCATCTCTGTAGCCTTGTTGCAGAAGGCCACTGAATTGGTCAGTCATGATTTGCCCTTAGTGAAGCTGTGTTGGCTGTCACCAATCACCTCCTTATTTTTCATGTGCCGTAATAGATTTTCCATGAGGATTTGTTTTGTGAGAATTGTAGAATGATCATAGGGGTTGGAAGGGACCTCTGAAGATCGAGTCCAAACCCCCCTTGCTGCAGCAGGAACACCTAGGGCAGATCACACAGGAATGCATCCAGGTGGGTCTTGAAAGTCTCCGCAGAAGGAGACTTCACAACCACTCTGGACAGCCTGTTCCAGTGCTCCATCACCTTAAAGGTAAAGAATTTTTTCCATGTATTGAAGTGGAACTTCCTGTGTTGTAACTTGATGCTATTTCCCCTTGTCCTGTCACAGGACACCACTTAAAAGGGACTGGCCCATTCTTGACATCCATCCTTCAGATATTTGTAGACATTAATAAGGTTCTCTCTTGGTCTTAAGACTAAACAGCCCCAGGTCCCTTAGCCTTTCCTTATATGACAGGTGTTCCAGTCCCTTAATCATCCTCTAAGCCCTTTGGACTCTTTCCAGCATATCTCTATCCCTCTTGAACTGGGGAGCCCAGAAGTGGACACAGTACTCCAGGTGTAGTCTTACTAGGACAGAGTAGAGGGGGAGGGGAACCTCCCTTGACCTGCTGGCCACACTGTTCTTAATGTATCCCAGGATACTTCTGGCTCTCTTGGCCGCAAGGACTCGCTGCTGTCCCATGGATAACGTGTTGTCCACCAGGACCCCAAGGTCCTTCTCCGTGGGGCTGCTTTCTAGCAGGTCATCCCATAATCTATATTGGTGCATGGTGTTTTTTCTCCCCAGGTGTAGGAGTCTACACTTACTCTCGTTAAACCTCATTACATTCATCTTTGCCCAGATCTTCAGTCTGTCCAAATCTTGCTGAATGGCTACACAGCCTTCAGGTGTATCAGCCAATCCTCCCAGCTCCATATCATCAGCAGACTTGCTGAGGATACACTCTGCTCCTTCATCCCTTCATCATTGAGGAAGACCTTGAGTAAGACTGGGCCCAGTATTGACCCCTGCGTAATTCCATTAGTCACAGGTCTCCAACTAGACCCTGCACCATTGATCACAACCCGCTGGGCTCTACTGTTTAGCCAGTTCTTGATCCATCTCATTGTCCGCTCTTCTAACTCACTTCCTGAGCTTATCCACAAAGATGTTATGGGACACAGTGTCAAAAGCCTTCCTAAAGCCAAGGAAGACAGCATCCACTGTTCTCCCTGCATCTGTTCATTCTGTCATACCATCATAGAAGGCTATTGGATTAGTCAAACATGATTTCTGTTTGGTGAATCCATGCTGGCTACTCAAGATAACCTTTTCTGCCATGTGCTTAGAGATGACCTTCAGCATAAGCTGCTCCATCATCTTTCCAGGGATAGAAGACCAGACTGGAGTTACCTGGGTCCTGTTCCTTTTCCTTCTTGAAGGCTGGAGTGGCATTAGCTTTCCTCCAGTCCTCAGGCACCTCTCCTGTTTTTCCAGGACTTTTCAAAGATGATGGAAAGCGATCTAGCGAGGGCTTCTGCCAGCTCCCTTGGCACGCATGGGTGCATCCCATCATGCTGGGCACAGAGATGAGACTGACCAGCCTGTACTTCCCTGGGTCTTCCTTTTCTGCCTTTTTAAAAATAGGGGCTATGTTACCTTTTTTCTTACTGATGGGAACCTCACCAGACTGCCATGACATCTCCGGTATGATAGACAGAGGCTTAGCAACTGCATCCACTGTCTCCCTCAGGACCTGTGAATGAACACCATCAGGTCTTACAGACTTTTGCACCATCAGGTTCTTTCTCTCAGCAGCACAACCAATCTTTCCAGCTACTTGTGTCAATAAGTACATATAGGTTCTGAGCTATATAACTGGTAATTCTTGAGTTTTCAACCAGAGCCATATCATTAATATTTTGATGGGAATCTTGCAGTAGCTTTGTCTGTATAGCTGGGTAGATGAGTAGACTTACTGGGTCAAAGTTTTCCTTTCCTAAGCAACCACTTGAGCAGAATCTAGTCATGGGTGATATCATGGTTAAGCTTACAGTTCCTGACCTGAATGACAGAACCATGGTTTACTGTTACTTCATCTTTAGTCAACTTACTTTACTAAGCTCAGATGATCTGCTCTTTGTGTACACATAATCTTATGATATGAAGCTCATGAAGAAGCATGTAAATAGTGTGGTTTAACCACAGCCAGCACCACACAGCCACTTGCTCACTCCCCACTGGTGGTATGGGGGAGAGAATCAGAGTGGTAAAAGTGAGAACACCTGTGGTTGAGATAAAGACAGTTTAATAAGTAAAGCAAAAGCCAAGCACACAAGCAAAGCAAAATAAGGAACGAATTCACTACCTTCTGTTGGCAGGCAGATTTTCAGCCAAGAAAAGCAAGGGCTCTATTACGTGCCATCACTCCAAAAGTCCCCTCTCCGTCTCGCATCTTTATATACTGAGCGTGATGCTGTATGGTATGGGATATCCCTTTGGCCACTTGGGTGTAAGATTTCCCAGCTGTGTCCCCTCTCAACTTGTGCATCTCCAGCTTACTCACTGGTGGGGTGGGGTGAGAAGCAGAAAAGTCCTTGATTCTGTGTAAGTACTTCTCAGCAGTGATGAAAGCATCCCTGTATTAGCAACATTGTTTTCAGCACAAATCAAAACCATAGCCCCATACTAGCTACTATGAAGAAAATTAGCTCTATCCCAGCCAAAACAGCACCATAAATAAGTTAGTTGTGTGAAGGCTATGGAAATAACTGATCTTGAGTGCTTTCAATGCTTCAGTCATTTGGTGCTCAACAAAGAGAGCTCTTTTATTATGATGGAACGAGGTATGTGGTCCTGTGATCCCATGCCATGAGACTTAGTTTTCAGTTGTTTACACCAGGGTTATTGATTATAAATATATCACCATTTTATGCTGGTCATTATCTTTCTCCCTTTTTAGGCTTTTCATTCTTTCAAACAAGTTCTTGTTACGTTTTCTAAAAAAATTAACTGCAGACTTAGCATGTAGCAGAACTATCTCAGTTTCCTCAAAACACTTCAGACTTTGCAAATAGTTTGTATTTCCACTGCTGATTTTTCCACTGTTAAGTTCCACCTCCATGTAGAAGCTGGCAGTACTTCACTAAGCTTACTGTCCCAGTTTAGTGGTCAGGACAAACCGGGAAGATAAAAGAGGAATAAGGAAGAGAGGACCAAAAGGTGAAAATTGAAAACTGGAACAAGTTTACTGTAGCACAGAAAAAGGGAGTAACACATGAGGTGAGGAATAGGAACATAATATTATATACAGATATATACAAAACTCATCTCCATGGTTGCAGGAATAGGTGCATGGGAGGCCCTTGCGGCAAGGCTGACTCAAGAGAGAGGTCCATGGCTCCTCAATGCACCTGATAGAGTTGATTTCTGGAGAGTACGTGGCAAGTTGAAGAACCTCTGAGCAGCACCAACAGAAAGGAAGAAAGGTGCAGGGAAAATGGCCTGAGTTTCCTGTTCTTTTGGCTTTTGTAGAGTGTGGCATGAAGTGGGAGGAAATACTGACCCTTCTCTGCTCCAACCCTCCCAGGTCATTTGGAGTCCTAAAAACCCCTATCTCTCTAGTTCCTCTTACAGCTCTCAAAAATCTGATGGGTCTTCTCAAACCATAACACTTGCTTATTTACACTTGCCTAGCTGAAGATTAAACAAATGTGAAATCATTGTTCATTTTATCTTTAGGAAGTTGCATTCATGGTATTGGTACAGAAGAATGGTATAATACTTGTAATACTAGGTTTGTACAAGAGATTTCTGTTGTCCCTTTATGGCATCCTTTCAATACTCGGTATACTTAAAGACTAGATGAGAAGAATATACCTAAAACGAAAAGTAAGTCTACAGGGAAAAATGTGTATGGTTATCCTAAAAATCATCATGTAGTTCCTTTCTCTTAAGGAAAATCGTTCTTGATATTACATGGAAGTGAGGAAAAAATGCAACACATTAGAATGAATTATTTGCTAAAAGTGCCTGTGCCGTGCATTAAAACCTGTTAGAAGCAACAGGTTTGAGCAGTTAGGAGCTTTCTTAGGTAAACAACTGCTAGGTAGAATTTGCAGTGTTCATTACCATTCCTTTCCCCGGTATAATTCTGCCATTTATTTATTAGGGTGAAGTAACTGTTGAATCATAGAATGGTTTGGGTTGGATGGACCTTAAAGATCAACTAGTGCTAACCCACCTGCAAGACCAGGTTACGCAAAGCCCCATTCAACTTGGCCTTGAACATTTCCAGGGGAAGGCATCCACAACTTCTCTGGGCAACCTATGTGAATGTCTTACCACCCTCACAGAAGAGAATTTCTTCCTAATATATAATCTACATCTACCTTCTTTCAGCTTAAAATCATTCCCCTTTGTCCTTTCACTACATGCCCTTGTAAAAAGTCCCTCCCCAGTTCTCCGGTAGGCTCCCTTCAGGCACTAGAAAGCTGCTATGAAGTTGCTCTGGAGCCTTTTCATGTCCAGGCTGAACAACCCCAACTCTCAGCCTGTCTTCAGGGGAGAGGAGCTCCAGCCCTCTAATCATCTTTGTGGCCCTCCTTTGAACTCTCTCCAACAACTCCACATCCTTCCACTGTTGAAGTCCCCAGAGCTGAACACAGTATTACAGGTGGGGTCTCATGAGAGCAGAGTAGAGAGGGATAATCACCTCTCTTGACCTGCTTGGCCACAATTTTAATGCTGCCCAGGATACGGTTGGCTTTTTGGGCTGCAAGTGAATATTGCCAGATCATGTTGAGCTTCTCATCAACTGACATCCCAAGTCCTTCTCAGACTGCTCTCAATCCATTCTCTATCTAGCCTGTGTATGTGCCTGGGGTTGAGCTGACCCAGGTGCAGAACCTTGCACTTGACCTTACTAAACTTCATGAAGTTGTCATGGACCCACCTCAAGCCTGTCAAGGTGGCATCCCTTTTCTCCAGAATTTCAACTGCACCACACAGCTTGGTGTCATCAGCCGACTTGCTGAGGGTGCACTCAATTCCTCTGTCCATGTCGCCAACAAAGAAATACTACTGGCCTTGGTACCAACTCTTGAGGAACTCCACTGGTCACTGATCTGCATTTAGATATTATGCTTTCGATGACTACTCTTTGAGTGAGACCATCTATCCACCAAGTGGTCCATCCATCAAATCCATAACTTCCCAATTTAGAGACCAGGATGTTGTGTGGGACAAGTGTTGGTGTCAAACACTTTACACAAATCCAGGCAGATGATGTCTGTTGCACTCCTCTTGTCCAGTGGCGCAGTGACCCCATTGTAGAAGGCAATCAGTCTGTCAGGCCATGAAGCCATGTTGGTTATCACCAATCACTTCCTTATTTTCCTTGTGCCTTATCCTTCAGGAGACCCATGATCTCCCCAGGCATAGAGGTGAGACTGACTGGCCTGTAGTTCCCTAGGTTTTCTTTTTTTCCCTTTTTGAAAGTGGGTTTTTTTTCCACCTTTCCAGTCAGTGGGAACTTCACCAGACTGTCACGATTTCTCAGTTATGATGGAAGGTGGTTTTGTATCTTCATCCACTGGTTCCCTCAGAAACATGGATGGATCTCGTCAGTTCCTGTGGACTTGTGTACCTTCAGGTTCCTTAGGTGGTCTCAAACCTCATCTTCTACAGTGGATGGTTTTTTGTAGTCCTAGTCCCTGCCTTTGCCTTTTTTTAACTTGGGCTGTGCGGTTTGAGCACTTGCCCATGAAGAATGAGGCAGAAGAGTCATTGAGTTCCTCAATGACTTCTACATATTCTGAGTTCTTCCCCTCTGTACGTTTCCTTTTTGTGTGTGTGAGTTTGTCCAGGAGCACCTTGTTCATCTGTGATGCCTCCACCATGCCTCCTGGCATTTTTGCCCAAATTTCTCTTTGTTGAGATGGAGCGCTCTTGAGCTTGTAGGAGGTGATCCTTTTACATTAACGAGCTTTCTTGGACTCCTTTTTCCTCCTTGGTTTTATCCCACAGTACTGTACCAAGCAGGTCCCTGAAGAGGCTAAGGTCTGCTCTCCTGAAGTCCGGAGTAGCGAACTTGTTGTGCACTGTCCTTGCTGCCCTAAGGATCTTGAACTCCACCATTTCACAGTCACTGCAGCCAAGGCCGCTCTTGAGCCCTACATTTCTGACCAGCTCCTCCTTGTTTGTGAGAATAAGGTCCAGCATAGCACCTCTTCTCATTGCTTTCACTGTCACTTGGAGAAAGAACACTCCACAAATCTCCTGGACTGCTTATGTCCTACTGTGTTGTCCCTCCAACAGATACTGGGATGGTGGTAGTCTCTCACAAGGACCAGGACTTAGGAGAAACTACTACTGTCTGTCTCTAGAGGGTCTCTTCTTCTTGGTCCTTCTTCTTAATGCTAGTTTCTTCTTTCAGGTTAATGTTTCAGCTGCTGCAACTGTCAGAATACAAGTAACTTGTCTATCTGAGGCTTTATATCCTGTTGATTCCTAAAGTGTGAGTTTAGGGGAGAAGACACTGTCTAGCTAAGAGTCCTGAGCTTGATTATGTTACATCAGTACAGGCAGGATTTCTACTGGAGTTTACCTTGTTAGTCAATAGTAACTAAATTTAAATAAACAACTTTTCTTGGTTTTGTGTCTTTCTCCTAACAAGTTACCATTGTAGGAGGAGTAGGTATATTAACTCTTTCTCTCAAAATGTGCCCGCAGAAGGTGGGGTGGTATCTAGGGCAGCTTAGTGGTATGGAATGCTGTATTACTTTCAAATGGACAAACTTAGCAATAATATTTTTAGAAACATTCACTGAGCACTGACCTTCAATGGACTAGGTTTGTCATTCAGTATAAAAGTTCTCCAGACCCAAAATGCCCAGAGATAATTTGGTGCACATCATTTATTGACAGTGTTGACATGTCAGATTTCCTTCAGAAACTCACTAACGTGAAGTCAGGGTGCTTCTAGTGTGCAGAATGCAGTGCAGGGTTGAATGGTATATGTGCAAGCGTAAAGCTCTTTGAGTTATTTTTTAGAATGTGTTATATTAACAAAGAGAAAAATGTGTGAAAACAATATACAACTGCATGTATCTCTTGTTCGTGTGTCCTGACTGTAGAATTGTCCTGTGATACTTGTGGGTTCATAGAAGGGTGTCTATCTTGTATTAAACCTTTTATGTGTTTCAGTACTCCTTTTGTACAATTTTATTTTCTTCAGAAGATAAAGAATCCATGAATCACCTGACTTCAACTGAGAATTTGTAACACAGTGTTCTAGGTGTGTGTAGAATGATACATTACATTATAGTGCAGTACAAATTTAATCATATGTGAGTAGAGTGTATTTTGAGGGTCTGCTGTTGCTACTGTTACTTCAGCTAATTGCAGTCCCAGCTGAAGTTACTTGTGAAGTGCTTTTCTGATTGAAGATGGCTACTTCCAAGGACGTGTTACTTAGATAGCAGTGTCAATGAACAAACCATTCCCTGTTCCCCAATGAACAAATCATGTTTGTGTCAGAGCATCAAAAAAATCTTTGCTTTCAAGGGTAATGTTTAAAATAGTGGCTGCTATGGCAACAAATCCGTGTTTGTTTCTGCAAGTACACATCACTTAGAAATTTCTGAAGTTTAATTCTTTTGTATGTACTGTACTGTAGATACCCAAGACAGTTTTCCTTTAATTTTTATATACTTTATATATAAGACAGGGGAATAATCTAGCATTTTTGGTGACTACTAATTTACTTTCTATTCAATATATTTTGTGTAGTTCAAAGAAGATATTTTTTTTTCTTATTTTGTTTTTTTCTTTGAGATAATTGTCAGCTATAGGACTGGCTTTTTAAAATGTTAAGCAGTAATTCTGAAGTAGTTAAAAGCTTTGGCTTTCTGGGGAGTATCTAATATTTATGTGTTAATGCTATTGAAATATTGCAGTGACTGTTTTATGTGGTATAACAATTACGAAAACTAAAAATAATTTATTGTTTAGATATGAAACTGATAATTCAGCCAGGTAGTGTGGGTATAGTTGAGTGGCTGTCACATACTATGCAAATGACTGAATTCTTTGTATAGGTTACTACCTGCCACATTCATTCTTCCAGCGATGATGAAATTGACTTCAAAGAAACTGGCTTCTCACAGGATTCTTCTTTGCAGCAGGTAAGTTGAATTCTTTTAGCAGTGTAAGTTGCTCTTTCTGTAAAAATAAACAGAAAATTTTAAAAAGCAGTGCAATTTGTATTTCTATCACAAACAAATACAAATCTAGAAAGTCTAAAATAAAACTTAGACATATCTGTGTGCCATGCACTCAACTGTTTTATCAAACCCAGAGGTAGATTTTTTTTTTAACAGAAGTCACAATATCTCTGTGTGCCTTCCAATTATTAGTCTGTGATCATGCTTTGTATGCAGTTATCTGCTCGTTATTCATTTTGTGTCAGCTGTCAGGCATATCCTGACAGTTTAGTAAAAACTTTAGTTCTTACTAAAAGTAAGTAAAAGTAAGAACTAAAGTTTAAAATGGTGGCTTCTAATTTTGGTTTTAGGAAAGGATGAATTGCAGTGAAAGCAAATGGAGATTTCTGTTTGATTTTGCCAATTTTTACTTGTTTAAAATGTTTACCTTTATTTTGATGAGGAGACAAGGATTTTTTATTTGTTGTTATATGCTTTTAGTTTCTGTCAAAATGTCAAACTCTGCAGCTGTCACAACAATATAAATTAAGAGCTAAGTATATTCTTGTGACAGGTTGTATCTAGCAACTGAAATGTCTTTCACTTTATAGGCCCTAGACCAATAGCTAAAGGAGGAGATGGGAGATAGATTTGCAAAATATCAGTGGACACATTAGAAACAGGATAAGGAAGAAAAATACCAAGGGAACTATGAATTGTTGGCTTATTTTTGTCAAATTTAACTTCTGCCTGTGTGAAATTACATCTGCTACGACTTCTTTCTTCTGGCATCCAAATATTGTTTAATGCTGTTTTCTTCAAATTAAGACCCTTTCTTCCAGAAGGAAAAATCCCCTCAAACCTCCTCACCCTTTTTTTTTCAGAAAGAATTCCTATGGAAGTTTCTGAATAACACTTCAAAACTGAGATATTTGGAAAAGTGTTCCATCACCTAATACTGGGGTTTTTGTAAGGTTTCTCATGTCAGCAGTATTTAACGTGCTGTCTTGCTGTGCCTCTGGAAACTTTTACTTTAGGAAAGCATTAGTGTTCTGTTCTCTACCAGCTTAGTACCACTTTTTGTCTCCTTTAAGCATACTCAAAATACATTGGAGAGCAGGATAGAACTGTCTAAGGTATGAGACACTAGCAGTTTATAACTGTATTTTATATACTTGTAGAAGACAATTTTGAGTAGTGGTAATATTTCATACTAGTTTCTTAACTAGCTGATCTTGATGGTGTGGTTCTTAATGGTTGCATTTTCTGTAAAACAGAACAATATCATTACATTGGGGTTTTTTTCTTCCCATGGATGTAATTTGCTAATGAATTTCAGTCGTGTGCTTTTTGGTATCCATGATAGTGAAAATACTTAACAGGAAAGGAGAGCTCAGTAACCATTGTAAAGTGGAGTAATTATTTTATAGGGAGGACGGTCAGTAATCAATTGTCTACCTGTGTAATGTTGATATATTAATTGTTTTAGTGTGAAATCCTAAAGTTTTTCAGAACTATCAGTTTTTTTAATTTGCAGTCAAAATGTAAAATGTAATAGAGTTCTTGCTTTGGCCTGGCTTCTGGCTTAGCATGGTGACCCCTACCAGTTATGAGGGTTTTTCAGACCCATTCTCGGCTCTTCTCAGTATTTTGCTCTATACTTCATTCTTGCAGATCTTTTTCCTCTGGTTTTCATAATGCCCTAATCCAAACTTTGGTTTTTTACCATTCTTTTGTTTTCTTTCAATACTCACTTTATTCAGCTTTTCGTCCTTCTTCAAAGGCTTTGTCTGTGTACTGTGTCCCTTTGGCTGCCTGGGCAAGACACCATAAGATTTGATGTGACAGCTGTATTTCCTAGAATATTTTAGCATCAACTGACTTTACATACATAAATAATGCTATTAAAGTTTCCTAGAGAATGTGTGATAGTTTAATTACAGTCCTGGGACATAAAGGACAAAAACTATTGTTATGGATAGAGGAAAATGCCCATGCGTACCATAATGTGAATTGAGTCAGGGACACTGCATTGATACGTAAAATGTTAAGCTCCCTTCTAGATGTCAAATAGATGCTGCTGGTGTGTGTGCCTGAGACAGATATTTCTAGTGATAACTACATGATAAATATGCAGCTATGCTTTATCATATTCATATAATGTACTTTTCTGGTTTTTAAAATCTGTAACTTCATGTTTTTTGAACAAGTGCAGCTTTTTCTTCTCTGTAGTGTTTGGTTTTGTTTCACTCTT